TCAGACAACCGGCAAATACCACCTCTGACTAGAGATTTTATAATATCCTTCCCCTGCCACGTCCACCAAGCCACGCTCACAGAACCGGTAGTAAAAAAAATTGAATCCCACCACTGGTAGAAACTGTTCTTCAGCCTGTTGGTGCAGCTGGCTATGCTTCTATATCTCCTACCCAATGGTAGGAGAGTAAAGAAGTGCTGACTGGGATGTGAGTCGTCCCTGAGGATTTTCCTCACTCTTCAAGGCAGTGAGTCCTTGCGATGTCATCTAGTGGCATCAGGGAACAGCCCACAATGTTTTGTGCTGTGCTCACCACCCACTGTATTGTCTTTCTATCCGCGGCTGTCAAGCCAGCATACCACACCGTAATGCAATATGTGAGGACACTTTCTATTGTGGACCGGTAAAAGGAGGTCATCAGTCGTTATTCCACTTTATTCTTTCGCAAGATCCTAAAGAAATGGAGTCTCTGTTGGGCCTTTCTGGTCACATGGGCTGTGTTGATTTTACAGGTGAGATCTTCGCTGAGGTAGACTCCCAGGAATTTAAAGGAGGAAACTCTCTCCACACAGCCCCCCTCGATGTAAAGTGGGGCAGGTTCCTCTCTCTTCTTCCAGAAGTCTAACACCATCTCCTTTGTCTTGCTGATGTTTAGATGCAGGTTGTTTTCTAGGCACCATGAGAATAATTTTTGAACCTCCCCCCCCGTACGCTGTTTCATCTCCACCTGTAATGAGACCCAATACTGTAGTATCATCTCCAAACTTAATGATCACAGTAGCTGGGTCAGTCGATACACAGTCATGTGTGTACAGTGAGTACAGGTAGGGACTGAGCACACAGCCCTGTGAGGAATCAGTGCTAAACTTCAGGGAGGTGGATGTGGCAGACCCAGCCTTCACTGTTTGTGATCAGTCCCTCAGAAAGTCTTTGATCCAGTCGCAGATGGAAGAGGGAAAATCCCAGTCAGTCAGCTTTTCGATAAGGATGGTGGGCAGGATAGTATTGAAGGCCGAACTGTAGCCAATGAAAGCATCCTGACATAGTTTCCGGGTTTCTCCAGATGGCTCGCTACAGAATGTAAGGCAGTAGCTATGGCATCGTCTGTTGACCTGTTCCTCCTATAGGCAAACCGATGTTTGTCAAAGTCTGGTGGGAGGCATGTCCTAAGGTGTTGGAGAACCAGTCTTTTGAAACATTTCATCACTACTGATGTAGTGAAAAGTTGAAATAGTTGTTGTTCCCTTAAAAAGAGAAGCAATAGGAAAGCAACGGGAGGAACATAATTCTTTTGGAGGGTGGGAGAGTCAAATTCTTCCATGGTTCCTTAAGAAATATGGGTGAAGGAAGGACAGCCTTTTGCAACATAATATTTAATGGCATTTATTTTCTGAATTAAGGTACCATTAAACCAGAGGAATCAAGTTTTCTTTCTTTTAAAAGAACTCACAGCATCATCATTTTCATTTCAGCCAAGATCTGTGTATTTAAGAAAAGTACAAGTTGTAATTTTGCTTTGCTCAAGGAAAGACACCTGAAAGACTTCTGTTCTGCTTTTTGTCATTGCATAATCTAGATCGTCCCAAACTCGAACTCGTGAAAAGGATCAAATTACAGTTTATCAAGTTATGCACTCTTTGAATGCCTTCCAAGGCTTGTTGGCATTTCCACTGTAGCTCAGCAGCTGGTACCATCTTTCATATCAAATTCTATGCATCCGATCAGAAGATATTTCAACATTAAACCATTGACATGATAAAATGACAAGGACAGCATTACAGGGCTTCAATTTCCCTTGAAATCGACCACTTATTTGTATTGTGCATGAGTAGTAACTTTCCATAGCTATCTTTTCCAGAGCAATTTTTTTAAAAAAATATCTTTAAGAAACTAGCATAAAGCATAATTATGGTAATATATGGCTGATCCTGTAAAGAGCCTCTCTTAACAGCTCGGATGCTCATCTCCTTTTGAAAAAGTGGTAAACTGAATTTGAGGATTCTGAATACCTAAATCAAACCCTTCTCTTCTATTTCTTTGATTTGTTTGGAAAATTTCCCAGCTGCAAGAGCTTAAATAACATTGAGCAAAGAATTCATCAAGCTATTAACACAATGGTGTTCTATAAGACACTTAATTAGAATCCCCTTCTTTATTTATTAGAAATAATTTACCATGAAAACCATGAAGAAATTTAGCAGAATCTGCAGCTCTGGCAGTATATTTCTGCCTTAGTGAGCAAGAGTGCAAGAATAGATATAATACATATACAACATACTAGAACTATCCTATTTCATTAGGCTCAACATGGATAATAACTGTTGATAGCAAGAACATTGCTACCTAACCATAATTGATAAGGAGCTGGATATTTGCTGTGTAATGATAGAAATAACTTTCTGGACTTGAACCGACTCCAATTTCTCCTCTTCCTCCTCCTCCCCAGGAATCTATCAGAGAAAGTATCCACATTTAAATAGCTGATTGATTCATCTTTATTTAAAAAAAATGAACTAACATGAATAGCACTAATTAAATTAGAGAAATGAATACAATTCATCAGAGTCTAATCTTTTAAGGATTTGAAATTGTGATTTATGGAGTTGTAGTTATCCTCCTGTTCCTCCTCTTTCTCCTCCTCCTCTTCCTCTTTATTATTTGCAATGAATGTGGGGTCAACTCAGTGGTGGGATTCATTTTTTTTACTACCGGTTCTGTGGGCGTGGCTTGGTGGGCATGGCAGGGGAAGGATACTGTAAAATCTCCAGTCAGAGGTGATATTTGCTGGTTCTCCAAATTACTTAAAATTTCTGCTACCAGTTCTCCAGAACTGGTCAGAACCTGCTGAATACCACTTCTGGGTCAACTTTTAGCAACTATGTAGATTCTCTTTGTGACAATCTGTCCCTAACCAGTTCTTTAAATCTTCCAATATTTTTTCCCCAATAGCTGAAAGCAACACATGACATTGTACATGTAGTCCTCAACTTGCGACCACAATTGAGCCTAAAATTTCTGTTGCTAAGCAAAGCAGTGGTTAAGTGAGGTTTGTCCCATTTGGTAATGCATTTGATAACCATTCTTACCACAGTTGTTAAATAAGTCACTGCAGTTGTTAGACATGATGAAGTAAATGTGATGTGGTCATAAGTTTTCAACGGTGTTATAAGTTCAAATAGTCACGAAACAAATGGTTGTAAGTTGAGGATCACCTGTATAGCAATATACACAGAGTACTGGATTGAACCATTTATTTGTTTGCTTGTTTATGTATTAAACTTGTAAAACTACCTATTTCATGTCATTATAGTGCTGGGCTATTTACAAAGAATCACAAAAGTTTCTGATGCCCCTCCCCCAAAGCAGCACATCCACAAACAAATTTACTAGGCTCCACCCTCACTGAACCCCAACCAGACAGATCTCCCCTGAGATCTGGAAGGCAAGGAGGTTAGGGGCCTGCCAGATTTCAGGGGAAAAGGTTTTCCACCTTTTGATCCAGGTAGCCAGGAAAGACCAACAGAGACTTCATTTCCTCAGAGTCTTGCACAAAAACAAGGTAGAACAACAGATGACCTCCTTTTACCAATCCACAATAGAAAACGTCCTCACTCAGTGCATTATGGTGTGGTATGCTGGCTTGACAGCCGTGGATAGAAAGACTTTACAGAGGGTGGTGAGCACAGCACAAAACATTGTGGGCTGTCCCCTGATACCACTAGATGAAATCGCTAGAGCTCGCTGCCTTAAAAGAGTGAGGAAAATCCTCAGGGACGCCTCACACCCTGATCAGCACTTCTTTACTCTCCTACCATCGGGAAGGAGATATAGAAGCATAGCCAGTCGCACAAACAGGCTGAAGAACAGTTTTTATCCATGGGCTGTCAGACTCCTGAATGCAAAATAACACCATAACTACATAGTACGATAGACTTGCAGGGCCGGTGCAACATGCAACATGTTCACATTGGTGCAATAGAACTGTGTGTTTGTTAATATGCTTTATTGGGTTAGGGATTTATGTATTGTGTTGGTGGGGTGCATTAAGGGAGGCTCATCCAATCTCATTGTACACATGTTATGCACTGACAATAAAGGTTTGAATTGAATTGAATTGAATTAAATTGGTAGCTTCCCTATTTTTTTGTCTCATACAGAATGAAACATAACTGAATTGCAATAATATGTGCACTAACAACCACTTTAAGTCTGGAATGCTCTACCTGATTTGGTTGTTTCAGCTACAAATTTTCACTGTTTCAGTCACAAATCTTATTTAAGTAGTTATAGAGGGGGCGTGCATAAGTGCACTAATGTGCTTATCATCCCTGTCATTGTATTTTTGTTCTTTTATTCTTGTTCTCATTTTTGTTTGACAAATTCTAATAAACAAACAAACATATAAACTGTTTGAAGCAATTATCCAGATGAAATCTAATTGTAGATTAAAATATTTAATATTTGCTAATAAGACCAAATGAATGAATGTGAGAAAGATCCTATTGGATCAGATCAAAGCAGGACATGAACACAATTAGACTATCCTGCATGTACTATCCAGCAACTGTGGCTTTTCTTTTTCTTTTTTAACCCATTGAAATGATTTTGTCTGGACATACATACCCTTTTTATTGTTTTCTTCTATTTTAACTATGTAAGCAGCCTTAATTTTAGTTAAGCAACCATCTAAATCTAATGTAATAAATAATAAATGTAAGAGTTAAATGTATTTAACTGTCACAACAGAAAAGGATGCTAGCACTAATATTAAATCATCATAATCATAATAGCTGTCATCATAATATTTAACCATCAATGAAATATTAGTATTTCCGTGTATTATATGCTCAAAGTCATTATTAAACTTTAATTTCTATTATTAGTTTAAATATATGCTATGCTTGTCCCAGCTGACAGATATATCTCTATCCATTCCCCTAACAGATCAGCCGTACTCATGGTCTCCAACTCAGCAGTCCTTCAGTGAGGAAAGATATTCTCCTGTTTCAAGTAACATGAAAGGATTATCTGGCAGTCGTAATCAATCACAGTTATGTTCTGCACATACTTGTGGTTTAGCATCCCCTGAAGATTGTGAACACAGCCACGATCATCTTCATCATGGCCAGGATTCAAGGCAATCGTATCTTCTCAGCCCAACTGAGAGTTGCCCCGTGGACCACCATCGCTGCTCACCACGAAGCTCCATCCATTCAGAATGTATGATGATGCCCATGGTTATGGGTGATCATATGTCCAGTAGCACTTTCCCCAGAATGCACTACACCTCACATTACGATACTAGGGACGATTGCGCCATGACTCACGCAAACCCGAAGATTAACCGGATCCCAGCAAATTTGCTGGATCAATTTGAGAAGCAACTTCCTCTCCATAGGGATGGCTTTCACACTTTGCAGTACCAAAGGACATCAACAGCAGCCGAACAACGCAGCGAAAGCCCAGGTAGAATACGTCACCTCGTCCATTCGGTCCAAAAACTGTTCACAAAATCACATTCTTTGGAAGGATCTTCCAAGAGCAATGTAAATGGGGCAAAGGGAGATGGCCGAGGTGATGACCATCATCATGGACATCATTCTAAGCATAGCAAAAGAAGTAAAAGTAAAGAGCGAAAGCCTGAAAGTAAGCATAAAACTGGAATGAGCAGCTGGTGGAGCTCTGATGACAACTTGGACAGTGATAGCACTTACCGGACACCTAGTGTGGTAAACAGGCATCATGTGGACCATATCTCTCATTGCTATCCTGAAGCTCTTCAGGGACATTTTGGGGATCTCTCATTAAAGACTTCCAAAAGTAACAACGATGTGAAATGTTCCGCTTGCGAAGGTCTTGCGATGACCCCTGATGGCAAGTACATGAAACGGAGCTCTTGGTCTACCCTCACAGTAAGCCAAGCTAAAGAAGCTTATCGGAAGTCGTCTCTTAATCTAGACAAGCCTCTAGTTCATCAGGAAATAAAACCCTCCCTGAGACCATGCCATTACCTTCAGGTAAGTGTGAAATGTTGCTAATATCCTTCACTGAAGAGCAATATGCTCTTTTAACATTTGTAAGGCAGTTTTCTAAGGGGCATTCAAATCCCATCATTTTTTCAGTTAAAATCTCCTGTTTTTCCCCAAGGTTCATCTACACCTAGAAATAAAACACAAAGCAGAACTCAGAAACTGGTTTTATATGAGTTATCCATAACAAACTTTCGGTGAAAGTAAAACATAACCATCAATCTTTGATGGCCTTTATCTCTTCTCAGAGGCAGGTCAGATACCTTTCGCTGAGCTTCCTCTGTATTTTTCTTTAACAGCACCTGCATAAGATAGCAGAGATGGTGGCCATAGGTCCTATTCCTGTTCTTTAATTTCATGCTGACCAAACGGGACACAAACACTCTGCTTCTCACTGATGATTCTGAATGGAGCCTGAGTACCCTCAAGAATGTGTGATGTGTGTATTTTCTTTCAGCTATGACCACCAATCACGAAGGGCTAATTTTGAAAGATGCTGATTGGTTTCACCTAATTCGTGCAATGCACTATTTCTTTTTTAAAAAAAGAAGAAGCAAAAATCGTGGGATTGGAAAAACCTACTTTCAACTTTTTTCCTATTTTTTTTAAGAGTAAAAAAATAAAAATAGAAAGATAAAAGATAAATGTACTGGTTGCAGTAGAGATTAGGAGAGAATGAGTAACAGAGACTTTGGAATCAGAGCTCAAGTTGCAATTTGTTTTTGGCTTAGTGTGAAGTATGAACCAGTGGCTTATACTTTAACTGACACTAGCAGCAGATAACCTGGAGTAAAAAGCTTCGTTTTTCCCTTGGCAGCTACTTCAGACAGCCACCCTTCCTAATTCTTTTTTCTCGTCAGCTGATAGCTAGCTTATTTTCCAATATGTTCCAAAAATGCTCTCTGTCTCAATCTGATGGGAGAGCATCATGCTGTAGTAGCTGCTACAGATCTTGAAAGACTTTTGAATTGCCATGTATCAACTCATAAGAGCTCTTGCAGAGGTCTCAAGGCAGTGATGGTCTTCTGCTAAAGAAGGATGATTCTGGAGGTTAGTGCTTTGCTTTGCATCATGCCAGCTCCCTTTATTTAATTACATTTAGGCACCATCCAACTCCAAAATGATTCTGGGTGGCTCACAATATAAAACTAGACAAGACTATATAAGTAAACAAAATAACACCCACCAAGATAGTGGAATCTATCTATCTATCTATCTATCTATCTATCTATCTATCTATCTATC